GAGAAAGCCTTTGATTCCGTCGAAATTTGGGCGGTGCTGCAGTCCCTTCAGCGATGCCAAGTTGACTGTCGGTATATCGAAGTGTTGAAGTGCTTGTACAGTAGGGCTACGATGGCTATCCGAGTACAGAACCAGAGTACGAAACCTATCTAATTGCAGAGAGGTGTAAGACAGGGTGACGTCATATCCCCGAAACTCTTCACTGCTGCATTGGAAGACGTTTTCAAGCTTCTGGACTGGAAAGGATACGGTATCAACATCAATGGCGAGTACATAACTCACCTTCGATTTGCCGACGATATAGTCCTTATAGCAGAATCGCTGGAGGACCTAAGCACTATGCTCAATGACCTCAATAGTGTTTTCCAACGGATAGGTCTTAAGATGAACATGGACAAAACAAAGATCATGTTTAATGTCCATGTCATACCTATGCCGGTAGTTGTTGGGAACACTAAGCTCGAAGTTGTTGACGAGTATGTTTACCTGGGACAAATAGTCCGACTAGGTAAGTCCAACTTCGACCGAGAGGTCAATCGACGGATTCAACTCGGTTGGGCAGCGTTCGGGAAATTACGGCACATCTTCTCGTCAGGTATACCTCAAACCTTGAAAACGAGACTGTACACCCAGTGCGTGTTGCCAGTGATGACATACGGAACTGAGACGTGGTCCTTCACTGCTGGCCGGATGAGGAAGCTCAAGGTCGCTCAGCGAGCTATGGAGAGGGCTATGCTCGGAGTTTCTCTGCGTGATAAACTTAGGAATGGGGATATCCGCAGTAGAACCAGAGTAACCGACATAGCCCAACGGATTAGTAAGCTGAAGTGGCAATGGGCCGGCCATATAGCTCGAAGACCCGACAACCGATGGGGAAGAAATGTTTTCGAGTGGCAGCCTCGTACCGGTAGGTGAAGTGTAGGGCGTCCCCCCACGAGATGGAGTGACGACCTGGTAAGACATGCAGGAAGTCGATGGATGCAGGTGGCTCGGGACCGTACTTTGTGGCATTCTTTGGGGGAGGCCTATGTTCAGCAGTGGACTTGTGAAGGGCTGTAATGATGATGATGATGATGAAGTGTGTGCTAAATAAGTACGAATGTTATCAAAATGGCGTCAATTAGCACAAAAAACAAATGAAAAAACCAATGCTCATTTTCTGTGAAACCAATTTTCAAATTAAAAATGCAATTTCAAATAATTCAAGTGGTTTTTAGATATGAATATTGTGGACAGTGTAAGTATGAGCCGGTTTCAATGTGATTATAACAATGCTTATGCCAAATTATGCTTAATGATATTCAGTCACTAAAGCGAAACAGATCTCTTTTCAGATAGTCCCAACATTTACGTGGCAGAGCCATGCTGCAGCTATATTAGTAGTATAGTTGTAGCACGCATGAGTCGGCTCGATCGGGGAAGGACCACGCTCTTACACAAAACCAACGTAAAATAGCGCTCGATGCTGCTGTGTTTCGTATAGTGAATGTAGAGAACCGGAGACCTTTTTACTGGAAAAGAGGCATTCCAAATTATTCCTCACGGGTAACAACGCCATCTGCATTTTGATTCTTTATTGAGGATAGATGTGGATGCCTATGGGTCACAGCAACCACTTACCATCAAGTGGACTGTGTGTTCTTTTGTCACCCTATCCTATAAAAATGTAGGAAAACATTTATATACATAAGTAATTTAAATTACATTTTAATTTAAATTATAACGAAATGAACATCTGTTAATATATTAATATTTATATTTTGAAAATTGTTCATGCTTTAATAGTTATCTTTTAAATAAAAATGTACATTTTCAGAATGAATTAATTTTCAGATTGTTTTAAGCTAGGAAATTGTTTTTACCGCCAAAATGCTGCCACCCGAAATCTGCCTCCCTGAATCCCGATACCACCGATACCTACGCTCTTGTCCTCCTATCCAATTGCTCCCCTGCCACCCTACTGCGTCACTGCTTCTGAATTATTATAATCTCGTTGAATGATTTCAGAATTTCGCAAGTTTACAACTGCAAAGAAGTTACGGGTCCTTGCTGAGTTGCGGCGGTATTTCACGCGGAGCAGCTGCTTACTCTGTCTGCTTAATCTATATATCAAACGCAAATTTGGCCGTGGTCGTGCATAAATTATTGCCGTCGTGTATAGGTTGGTGCTGCTAAGTACCACCTAGTAGCTTCGTACTTAATCGAAAGGTGTACAAGGAAGCTGACTGTTGACGCAAGCACCAGTCGCAGTCGGTAGAGGTAGTTGAAGAATGAATAGGCTTTTATTGAGCTAAGTCAGTTTGTTTACCATCTTCGGCTGCATCACCACTTACCATTGGGTGGGATAGTAGTCACGCATCTGCTAAAGATAGTTAAAAAAACAAGACTTTTCATCTTACCTTTTTTATAGAATAAGGGTGTCACCCTGTCACCCACCTGATGGTGGATGCTGTTGCTTATAGACATACAACCTCGATTAAGAATCATAATGCAGATAGATGCGTTATAACCCTTGAATACTAAGATGGAATGCCTCGTTTCTAGTAAAAAGGGTCTCCGGTTATCGACACTCACCATACGAAACACAGAAGCATTAGCTGCTATCTGGTATTCTGCAAGAGCGTAGTCCTACTTTAGTCGATCCGACCCATTCGGGCCACAACCATTATAACATAATTGATAGAATCAGGCGTTACTTTGCGGAAATCCACTATAATGGGGTTGTTATAAACTAATTTGCTTAATTCCGCGTAAAGAAAGAAAATGATGTGTCCTGCCCAGTTTTAAGGGGACCTCCCACCCTCCCTCAATCGCGCGCACTATGCCCGTCGCTGTTAATCCCAGCACTACCACCCCCAGCACCAGCACACTAGGCACGACACACCACTCTCGAATATACGACACGTGTTTCGCTCTACACGAGGCATCCTCAGGTGAAGTAGACTCTGCGGAGGCTGGCCGCTAAGTACTTTTTTGACTTGCTGGGATTAACGGCTACGGGTATAGTGCACGCGATTGAGGGAGGGTGGGGGGACCCTTAAACTGGGCAGGACACATCATTTTCCTTCTTTACGCGGAATTAAGCAAATTAGTTTATAACAAACCCATTATAACATAGCTGTGGCGTGGCTCTAGCACGTACAAAATGCTCTTAATTGGAATAAAACAAATTTTAAGGATTTTATCGCATTTAATTTATATTTTTTTTTCTTTAATTCTCGACGTTTTGGGCATTTAATAGCATCCATGGTCACGCTGGGGATTGAAATGTTTGACGTCTTAATATCACAGGTAGCCTTCGTTAACTACTGAACTACATATCTCAAATTAAAACTAATTACTTAACTATTAACTATATAAAATTGCATGTATAAATATTCGCGTAAATATAAGAAATCATTATTCTCTCATAATTCCCTTCATTTCCGTACATTCACATTAAAGCACGCAAAGTTTCAACGTGTGCTCCTCTATGTACATCAGTTAATTCATTAGGCATCCATTTCCCGAGTTTTTTATTTTATTAATCTGCTGCAAATAAGTCGCTATTTAATTACTATTTGAGTAGCAAGCCATTATAGCTCAGAAGCCAAAAAGGTCAAGAAAATATCTATAAAATATAATGCGTGTTGGTGCACTCCACAAGTCTACGAAATATATTTGTTTAATTCCTCAGACATACAGGTTTCCTCACGAAGTAAACCCACACCACCGAGCACGTGGTAAATCAGCAGTTAAGGTTGCAATGAACAATGTCATTGGTGCCGGCGGGGATTGAACTCGGGTTGCTCGCGTACGGCGTGCATAGACACGCTACTTTTGAACTTTTTTTAACTTTTTAAGATTGACAGAAGTAGATATTTAAATATAATTATTGTGACAAACAAAATAATGTTATAAAAATTGAACATTCGTGAAAACAGAAACACGAATCATATTAATTGTCTCGATTAAAAAAGAACCGGCCAAGTGCGAGTCGAACTCTCCCGCCGAGGGTTCCGAACTAATCCGTAGGTATATAAGTTTAAAATTATTAAAAATATTTTTATTATAATATGATGATATATTATTATATTATAATATGTAACTAAAAATTAATGCTTTTCGCAATTTTTCCTTTATCTGTGCTATAAAACGTTGCTTCGTACCAAATTTCAAGATTCTTCTAAGTTTCTTCTTAGAAGAAGATTCTAAGTCCACGGGAAGTACCCTGTAGGTTTTATTCCTTTGCGAATGTCGATTTGCGGCATAAACGGCTGTATCTTTTGATTGCGTTGGCTTAGAAGTTTGATATTTTCACAGCTCCAAGGGACAGTAGACTTGAGTATTTGATATGAATTTCAGCTTGATATCTCCACGCGTTCCAGAGAAAAAGGGTCTTGACAGACAGACAGACGGACAACAAAGTGATACTATATGGGTTCCGTTTTTTCCTTTTGAGGTGCGGAACCCTAAAAACATGAACTTTCGATAATGAAACCGTGTAGACTTACTATTTTCACACCGGCTAGTGCCCGCCACAGAGTACGTGCCCGGTGAGACATCTTTTAAATTCTCTTCGCTTTAGTACTAATAGGCGCGGCAATTGCGGGACTGAGGTAACGGTTTCATACAACGTATTACAAGAAGGACTTAAAATATTTTCATAAAATAAAGCTAAAGTATATATAAACCTTTGAGGTGGAACCTGATTAAAGAATAATTGAAATAAAGAATACAAATATTAAGTAAAAAAATATATATTTGTGTTTCTTCTCAATAATAACATAATAGTAACGAAAACCTCAAATATACTTCAAAATCACATTTAAGTAAGTTGACTAGACTCATCACCAGCTGTTTCCGTAGCCATTCCCGTATCCGTTTCTATTTCCGTATCCGTATCCGTTTCCATTTCCGTATCCGTATCCGTTTCCATTTCCGTATCCGTTTCCATTTCCGTATCCGTTGTAGCCGGTGGATAAGGTAGGACCAGACACTACTCTGTTCACTGACACCACTTGAGGACGAGACACTACTCTGTTCACTGACACCACTTGAGGAACAGACACTACTCTTCGCACGTTCACAACTTGGGGAACGCTCACAACCCTAGGTACGTTGACAACTCTGTTCACGGATACAACTTGCGGAGCGGGAGCGGAGTAGCTGATGGCTGGACCGGCAGAGTAACCGACGGCTGGACTAGTTTCGTAGCTGACAGCATTACCGGAATAGCCGATAGCAGGAGAGGAGTAGCCGATGGCAGGAGAGGAATAGCTGATGGCAGGTGAGGAGTAGCCGATGGCAGGAGAGGAGTAGCTGATGGCAGGTGAGGAGTAGCCGATACCAGGAGAAGAGTAATCGCCGTAGCTGGAGCCATACGACAAGCCTTCAGCGGAGTGCAAGCCACTGAGGAAACCGCGCTTCTCACGAACTTTTCCAGCGGAAGCGCACACCACCAAGCACAATACTGCGACCTGTAACAAACAATACAAGTATGTCTATTTAAAACATATACAACACAGTTCAGTTCACATATAATATCAATTTTTAAATTAACCATTACAGCCTATAAAAGTCCACTTCTGAATATGGTATAGCTTCCATTTTTTTATAGGAATTGGGTGACAAACGAGCACACAGTTCACCTGACGGACGTAAGTGGACGATGTGGCCCATAGACATCTACATTTATCCTCAATTGAGAATCAAAATGTAGATGTGCGACATTAAGTTGCTATTTTACGCTGGTATTCGACCTATTCGACCCATTCGTGCTACTACCATAATATAGCTGCAGCGTGGCTCTATCACGTAAGCCATGTTTGGCAGGCGGGTCGGCAATCGAAGGTTTTAATAATTTTGGGTCGTTGTCTGGAAGACGTTGCTACACATTCCTGTACAAAATATGTAATAGTATTCTCCGGTTTCAGTTTCCCGTAATCGCCTCTTACGATGTCCACGGGACGATGTGGGATAGTGGATATTCTTACTCCTTCACTACACGGTGAATATAATATCAATGGTAACCATTAAATATCAAATAAATATTATATAAATCCAAAAAGTAAAAAAAAATATAATTGGGTTGAATGACATTAATCTGTTACTACCGTATGTAACAGATTATATCATTCAATTCACTTTTTTTTTAAATTAACTGTTGTATGAATTACCAAGTTCAAAGCGATCGTTAAATGTTGTTACTGCATAATGATACAATAATTTAAACTTTTCTGAAATATTAAACAGTAATTTGGGTTATACCAATTTCCTGACTCCGGGCTACTATTGAGGATTTCTTGACAGGAAAACGCAACAACGGCTTTTAACCCAACCCGGGTTCGAGCCTGGGACATCATGCTCAGTAGCCGCTACTAGATCAAGGCAGTCTTGCACTTATACTATGTACCAAGCTCGATGGTAAATTGCTGAGCGAGCTAAACAATTAATTTAAAATAAGAAGATAATTTAGAATAAGATGGATACTCACAAAGGATTTCATGGTGCTCTTAGGCGGTTAGTTTCACTGGAGAGAAGATGTCGAGTGATGTATGGATAGTCTGCCATGCTACTGTATATATATATCTTATTAGGGCGACATTTCGTAACGCGTCCTCGTCGGCTGTGGTCATCTTTGATTCATTAATTAGGTTCCATGGCTAATTTATGGCTATTGACTGTAGTTTATTCTATACCGCGAACATTCGTCTCATCATTATTAGCATAATCGATATTCGTTTTTTATTTTAATATGAAAAGGTGGTTCCTTTGCCCTGTGAAATTCTGTTGGCACACAACAGACCGCCAGCAATTGTAAGTGCTAATTTACCAGGTGTTCGTAGGAAAACATCGTGAGGTACCTACACGTTTGAAGACTTAAATATTTCGATGGAATGCGAAGTCTAACTGATACATAATTCTCATAAAAGGAGCATATATTCTAAAGCTGAGGATATATGAATGTAATTTCACATCAACACGCCTATTCATCTTTAATACTATATCACTGAATTGCAACTGCAATACGTCTTAAATAGTTAATTCCGTATTAATAATCAGATCAGAGCATGTCAACGACGCTTTTGCTTCCTGCTAAATAAAGTTTCTTACAGTGTATCAAAAGTCTACTGCTGAACAGAGGCCTAGCATAGACTGCCTCATTGGGCAAATTGTTCCCATAGTTGGAACGATTTTCAAGCGGGCTTGCGACCGTAGTTTTTAATATTTTAAGTTGTTATTGAGAAGGTGCTGCTGCCCAACACCTGTTGAATTTCCCTTTGATGCCTCTTGAAACACCCACGGCATGATATGTATTTTTTTTAATAAATTTAAAAGTTTAATTAAAAAGAAAAAAATGTGTCACTATTTATTTATAATTAAAATATTGCATAGTTATTATATAATAATGCAATGTAATAGATTTGCATAGTCATTATTCAATTTTTTAATGACGTAATTATATTTCCGACAGGCTTTTTTTTTTAATTCTGAATTCACTAATGTATTGTTTATTTTGCACTCGCATTTGATACAGTTATTTTTAGGTACCGTTTATTTGATAAGTCAAAAGTGTTTTGTACTTTGTATGCCCATAGATAAACTTTATTGTACATGTAGCTGACTTAAGGGTGGACCGTCTGGTACTGTGCACCGCCTGCTAAGCGTGGCGATTTTAACGGGTGATACCGACGTCCCGCAGTGGACACCAATGGGCTGACGAAGAAGAAGTACAAGAAGAATAAATCCTGGTTATAACCGATTCTTAAAATACAATTTTTCTTAGGTGAATTTGATTAAGTCTTCCAGATCGATTTTGGCCCTCCATCCAGGAAACCATCAAACGTGAAGGAGATGATTTTATACGTAGTAGAGCCACCCTTCAGCTATATTATGATTGTAGCACAAGTGAGTCAGCTAAACCGTTGTGGGACCACGCTCTCACAGAATATGTATATTTATATGTAATTTGATTTGTAATAGAGCATAGATGGATTTTACGTTGTAGAGCCATGCTGCAGCTATATTAATAGTATAGTTGTAGCACGAATGGGTCGGCTGGACCGGGGAGGGACTCTCACAGAATACTTGCGTAAAATAGCAGCTTGATGCTGCTGTGTTTCGCATGGTGAGTGTAGAGAACCGGAGACCCATTTTACTGGAAAAGATGCCTTCTGTTTTAGTCCTCACGGCTGACAACGCATCTGCATTTTAATTCGCAAACGAAGATTGATGCAGATGTCTATGGGCCACAGCAACCACTTACCATCAGGTGGACTGTGTGCTCGTTTGTCACCCTTATTCTATAAAAATAAAAAAATATAAATACATACGGGGGGGGGGGGGCTCCCTATGAGACAATCTATGGGGTGATCTAAGTTCCAGCAGCGGAACGGTAATGGTATAATGTATACGCGAGTGCATGTTTCAAAAAGTTGAACATGGTTTCGGCTCGGTTTTGGCGTCACTTGAGTGGGATACATTGAAAGTATTGCGTGACAATTTATATGTAAACTAACATATTTATTCCTTTTCAAAGTATTCTTTATTAATTAGGTTTTCATTCGTTGAAACCGTTTTTAGAAACATAAGGACCATTGGTTTGAGGGCATGCTTTTCACGTGCCGGTTGAAAGCTGTCACGGCCTCTTCCCGCTCCGTAAATGTCAAAACTCTCATAAAATCTTTGTTTTTTGTGAAAATAAAGAAATTGCATGATGAGAGATCTGGATTATGTGCGGGATGGTTCACGAGCTCTACCTTTTCAAAAGCCAAAAATAACTTTAGCTTGTTCACGGTATGCGCCGAAGCATTGTCATGGTCATGTCATAGGTTTAGACTTCTTGATAATTTTTCCCTAACTTTTTCAACAGCCACTTGCCAAATAAATGGTAATATAACACTCAGCATTAACAGACTTTCACTCATCAACTGGGATCGTGCAAACAGGTCCCGTTTGGGATAAAATATGGCCAATTTTTTTGCCCAAGCTTCTTCCCTGCATCAATTTTATTAGTTTAATGTCACCTTCGAGCACACCTACAAAAGAATGTTGTTTTCTTTTTGGAATGTAAAAATATAGAAGTGTGAGTGAATTTTTTAAATCTTAAAGAATCATCGCCCTAAAATCTTTTCTCGTGTAATAAAAAACAATTGACACCTGACTTCACGTCAAAAATATTTTAATTAGTATATGAGTTTATTATGTTTTAAAAAATATAACATTCGAAATTCAAACATTCAAGGAGGAGCGCAGTATCTTTAGTGTGCCCTATGTATTATCCAATTTTAGGGATTTTTGTTGGAACTATACCGCCGGCGAATTTCTGCTCCTGTATTAAAATTATATTATGGTTTTAAATAGGATTTAGATTTGTAAATGTCTGCGCATATGAACTATTAATGGAAACGACGAAAGTTCTCCGATCACGATACAACCAAGTTGTTGTTCGCTTAGGCGTCTATTATTTATAAGACTTATCATTAGGTCTCGAGGTCCCAGGCCAAATCAGTAATTGGGTTTTTTTCTGACAAGAAATTTTCAGTAGCAGCCTGGAGTCAGGAAGTTGATGATGTTTTGCCCCTGTGCTGTGAAAATCACTTAAAGCTGTTGATCCTGCGCCTGGTTTCTCTCCGGTTGTGTCGCATTACCGTCCTATCGAACTATGAGAGTGAGGGCATAGAGAGTGCATCGGGCACTATAATCCCGACCTGCGTAGATGGATAGTCCCCGTTAAAGTCCCCACTAAATAAATTACAATAAAAAACTCAAATAAAATTTAAAATGATTCAAATAATTTAATAAAAATTCAACTGTGCTAATTACACCAATTATAATAATACCTTAAATATCAAAATCAATTCATTAATAAATTATAACAATTAAAATAACCGTATTTAAAATTTATTGTGTGTATGTTTAAATAATAGAATAAATGTTAATATTAAATAATTATTTAAAAATAGCAATAATTATAATAATAAATGTTCCTCCTTCATAATATTGCTGTGCCCATCAGGGCCCATGGAGATACCATAAAACTATGTAACACCTTTTGTAACCTATGGAATGCAATAAAGTTATTGAGTATTGAGTATTGAGTATTGAGTATTGAGTATTGAGTATTGAGACTGGCCGCCGTGACCGAAATTCGGTCTGGAGGACATTATTGTATACTAGCTGTGCCCGCGGCGTAGCTCGCGTATATAGATTTTACATAAAGAATTTGTCGTTTAGGTAAGAGAATATTAAACGATTTATATCACTACTGTATCAATAAGTGGTAACAAATAAATCATTATCATCAAAGTTCTAAGTAGTTTATGATAGAGCTTCGGTGTAAACGACGTTAGAAGTAGACTTAGACGGGGTGTACACAAAAAGGTTACGGGGGCTACTAACGCGGGAAAAAGCAACATAGAGTTGGCCATGTGCAAAACAGTCAGTACTGAGGTCCACTCTTACAACGCGTAAATTTTGACCTTGCACTTTATTTACGGTCATCGCATAACACACGCTGACTGTAACTGGGAACTGAACGCGCTTAAAACTGAAAGGAAAGTTACTTCTTAATAGAGGGTTTTTTGGCAGTGCTGCCAGATCAAAAAAACTCATTCAGCGCTAGGACAACACAAAAAGCGCTAGATTTCATGAAAACAGCGCTTTAAAAAAGCCCTAGATTTCGCGCTAAATTAACTACAAACAAAGTTTGTGTTTTTTATTATAATTTATAATTCAAGAAATAATCATAATAAAGAAAACAACATTAAGTTTTTTTCTGGCAATATTTTTTGATGTATCAATACTTCGCAGGACATCGACTTATAATTATGGCAATTGCTGTCAACAGTAGTTAGTACTACTCTAAGTAACTTTTAACTTAACTGTGCTCTAAACAACTGACTAAAGCTCGCCACATACATACGGAATTCCGTTTCGAGATTCCGTTTCGGAATTCCGAACGGATCGGCCACACACATACGGAATCCCGTTTTGTCCGCAAAATTTCGAACGGAAAACTACCGTACGTGTGTGACGGGCCATAGATTTTATATGGATTTGTTGCGTTCGGGATTCCGAATCGGAATATCGAAACGGAATCCCGAAACGGAATTCCGTATGTATGTGGCCGGCCTAAAACTGAATAAAGCAAAATAAATGCGTTGCCAAAACCATGAACGAAAACTTTAATGAAGGGGATTTCCCCGCTTACAGTCGTCGATAAAAAAAATCAAGTTGATCCTAAAGGGGAAGCCGGGAGATCCATAGCACAGGGTATCCTAGTTTGGACTCGTCTCCCATGCTCTTTGTTTTGTGGAAAAAATATGTTTGAAAAAGATAAACTGCAATGTACTATTTGTGGAAAAAAATAATAAAGGTCATTATTATTATTATCGGTAATGTGGACTAACAGTGCTGCTATAAAAGAGTTAATAACCCGCTAGTCGCTACAATTTTGAAATGTGTGCTAAATACACCAAAAAGCGCTGGATTAAGTGCTAGGTGCTAAAATTTCGAAATGCGCGCTATACATTCCAAAAAAGCGCTAAATCTAGTTCCCAAAGCGCTAAAATGGCAGTACTGATTTTGCGTATATTATAAATACAATATCACGACATTTCGTTGCAATTTTGTTATTTTTGTTCGGGTTCCGTTGTATGGCTTCGATAGATACAAATTTCTTCAGTAAGTCTCAATACGATTCATCGGCGAAAAATCTCAACACAGCAAATCAGAAAAGTTTGTAATTTATACAACTCCATCTATTACGTCCTTTGTGTGAGAAAACATCCTTTTTTAAATCTCTTTTTATGTTTTAAGTATAAATATATTAATTATTATGGAACGTTTTTTTACACACAAATCTTTTTATTACTATTTCTGAGATTTTTATGGCGCCATTGAACAAATTCGAACCTACATTTTAAAATAATAATCATTACTTTCGATAGAATTAACCAATTTTAATAAAACAAAGATTAAATGTAACTTGAAGATACGCTTTATGATTTTCTTAGCGATTTCTTTGAAAAAAAAAGATGTTTACTTTAGACGTGATGCATTCATATAAAAACAGACAAACAGACAGACAGACAATTCTAAAAATTATAAAAATGTACTTATTTAATTATTTTTAGTTCCCCATAATGATTTTAGTCACCAAAATAAATATACAATGTACAGAAAGAGACACAACATGTTATCATCATTTTTATTATATGTATATATTTAATTGAAGAGAGATGGCGCTGCTAACATCAACTTGATGACTCAAACAAAGCCACCGTTGAGCAAATTCCCCACCCGTACTTCAGAATATTTATCATAACTTTTGATGGAATGAACCGATTTTAATGAAATAAAGACTAAATGTAACCCGAAGATACACTTTATAATTTCCTTAACAATTCTTATGATATAAATTAGTACTTTAAACGTGATACGTTAACAAACAAACAGACAGACAGACAGACAGACAGACAGACAGAAAATTCTAAAAATGGTAGAAATGTATTTAATTATTTATTTTTAGTACCCCTCAATCACTTTTATTACAAAAATATAAAATGTACAGACATCTGCTATTTACAGTTTTATTATATGTATAGATAAAGTGGCAGATTAAGCCAGTCATCGACTGCACCTATGCTATGTCTTTAAAAATTGCTTAAAAATGCCTCTATTTGACGCAAGATTAATTTAAACGTCATGTTAAAACTTAAGTATTGTAACAGCCTATGTATGTGCTACAGATTGCTGTCATAACAACATGACTACGTGGCAGGTACTGATCGGCGATGTCCCAATGCGTGTTCGCAGACTTTAAATGTCAGTGAACTATTTGTAAGTAGGTACTACGAAATTTTAAGCGTGAATATCAACGCTGCAGCTATATTATACTTGCTGCACGAATGAGTCGGCTCGACTGGGGAACAACTACGCTCTCACCATACGTACACTCACCATATGAAACACTGCTGTGTTTCGTATGGTGAGTGTACAGAACCGGAGACCCTTTTTACTGGAAACGAAGCATTCTATCTTAGTTCTCACGGGTGACAACACATCTGCATTTTATTCTTAATCGAGGCTAGATGTAGATGTCTATATTGGCCACAGCAAACACTAACCATCGGGTGGACTGTGTGCTCTTTGTAAACCTTTTTTCCAAACCAAATATAACGATATTTTAAACAATATTAACGATATTTTAAATAAAGATTGAAAAAAAATGGAAAATAATCAGTTAAAAATTTGTATTTTCTTTTTAATGAAGGCTAGGACATAATTAGCATGCAAAGTATGGTTTAGCTAATGACATGAAGACACAGATCACATATGTTAATTTAACTCGACCCACCCATGAACCTTGGTCTTTCAATACATCCAAACGAAGTAAACAGACCTCCGATTGAACCGGAGTCCTTAAACTAAACAATTTTAAAGGGCGTATTTTACTGTTGTGTTTATGATGTCAATATATTTTCATATTTATTGTTTTACCCTCAACAACTTTATGAGTTTCGCCTTCGTTTTAAGAGGCTCCAGTTTGTGCATAACTACTGTTACACACCTTTTTTTAAATCGATTAAAAACTTGTTTATTTTAAGGTCAATCAGTATTTGACATAGTTATAGAGTTTTGACAGCTCACGGGTTAAAATCGAGTGAATTAGTTGTAAAAATTTAATAAAATTTAATCAAGCTTTTAAATAACGCCCAATTTGACTGTTAATTACTTCTGCTGTTCATCATTCCACTAGATTTATTATCAGTATTTTTATTTTTTCTTTAAAAAAAACGTTACCCTCACATTAGGATTTTCTTCTGTATCGTGGTGGCAGTTTACACACATAATTGAACAAGAACAAACATCCAGGCTTGGAATAATTACTTGTAAGCCATACCTACAAATATTTGTTCCGTGGGGGATTCGAATCCGCGGTCCTCAACGTAACTCATTGCTAAGCCACTGCGCCACAGAGTCGTCATATTATTTTTAAAGCTTTGAGATATAAGCGAAATTTATATAATTTATATGTATTTGGTTTGTTTCCTCTGAACGACTCTTTTTCTCAAATCTGGATAAACTAGTTATCTAGTACCGGCACACCGCTTGCAACTTTACAAGGCACAGGTTCGGCATCACATGGAATACTGTTCCCATCCCTGGGCTGGGGCTCCCTAGTGCCATCTAGCGCAGATCGGTTCGAATCGTCGACGACCAAGCTCTTTCTGATCAGATCGACTCACTGGCACTGCGAAGAGATGTTGCAACTCTTTGCGTATTTTATCACATCTACCACGAGGAGTGCTTTGAGAAATTGTTCGAACTAAGACCAGCCACTCAATTTTACCATCACACAACGAATCGACGAAACTCGCGATACCATCCATACTATCTGCATTATTGTCGGTCCACCACTGCGCGATTTACAATAATTTTTCTTGATCGCACAACTTCATTATGGAATCGACTATCACCAGCGATATTTCCGGACCGATACGATTTAGGGACCTTCGAGAAAAGAGTCTACTCTTTTTAAAAAGGCCGGCAACGCACCTGCGATTCCCCTGGTATTGCATTTGTTCTTGGGCGCCGGTCGACACTTACCATCAGGTGAGTCGCATGCCCGTTTGCCCCCACTTCTATAAAAAAAGAAAATTTAAATACAAGTATACAATAACCAATAATTTGGACGGAATATTTTTAAAATAAACTTAGACCTACAACGAATGAAGTCGAAGCGCTGCGCTTCAAGTGACGCAAAAACCAAGCCAAAACTATGGTTTTATCATACAATAACATATCCATCTTAAATCATTTGAAACTAAAAGATGGTTAAAGATGTATATGTGTGCGTCCAGCAATGAATTATTACCGATAAAGAATGAAAAAGAAATATGTGTGCTATGTAAATAAGTTTAGCATCATTACGGCATCACTTAAAATGTACGCAGTGCTTCGTTTTTCTTTCTTTGTTGGTCTAGTTAAATAAATTAAGAACTAAAAGATATTGGATGATAGGTCTAGAAATACATTTTTACATGGTAGAGTCATATAGTAACTTGATTGTAACTAAAGATGTTAAAAATTCACTAGTTGAGATCCGCGTACTAAAATTAAATTATGTATCTCACCTATTTTGAAGAGCACCTTCCGCCCTTCCTCAATTGCGTGCACTATCGCCGTCACCACTAACACGCTAAGTGAATAATTTTAGCGGTAACCTACCGCAGAGTCTATTTCACCTTACGATGCCTCGTGTCGAGGCAAAACACGTGATTTTATTTTATTTATTTAAACCCTATCACAAAAATAAAATTAAATAACAAGACTAACAGATCCACAGAAAATAACTAATGTTTTTAATAATTATTTTACTGAAAAAGTTATCTCAATATTAAACTGAGGAAATAGGGCTACCTAATAAATTACAAATAGTTTAAAATCATTTTTCATGCCCCCTTGTCTGCCACAACAGCGTGGGTTCTGACGGAATGTCTATGAAAATTCTTGCATCTGTTTCTGTAGAAATATGTATACATTTAACTCACCTCATTTTTTAACCATATGCACTGGAATTTTTCAAGATGCCTTAAAAATTCGATCATATAACCCGTGTTTCAAAAAGAGAATAGAGAATCTATGGAATGCTACAGACCAATTATGCTTATTAGTAATATCTCCAAAATTTATGAAAAATATATCTACAAGAAATTATATAAGTACCTTAAAAAAAATAATATACTTGTTAACGAGCAAAAAAGATTCAGAGAAAACCGAACTATAAACATGGCAATCTCTGATTTCTTATATAAAGCTATAATTAATGTTGATAAAACCAACCCTTTCCGTACAGTTTTTTGTGACATGACCAAGGCATTCGATTATGTCCGACACGATATTTTGTTGGATAAACTGGTGGCCTATGGGTTTCGAGGTAAAACGTGCTAAAACTAATACAATCATATTAATACGGCAGAAAGGAAATCACTGAAATAGCCTCAATAAATATAAAAACTAAATATAAAGAAATATTTCAATCGCATGAAGGAGTAGTTAAGTATGGAGTACCAGAGGGAAGTGTGTTAGGCTTCCTACTATTCTTGTTGTACATAAACGACTTATCTAAATCCGTTGATCAACCAGTAACACTCTTTGCTGATGACAGCACCATAACAATTCAATGCAATTATAACGATAGCTATAAAAACGACATCAATGGCTCTCTTATATCAATTATAAAATGGTTAAATAATAATAACTTAAAAATAAATCTGAATAAAACTTGTGTAATGCATTTCAGTCAACGTTTACCAACTCCAAATAATCTTAAGGTCCAATATAATAATAAAATAATTGAAGAAGTCAACACTGCCAAATTCCTGGAGGTGACGATCGACAAGAAATCGAACTGGAAGGAACACGCAGAAATTCTTTGTATAAAAATAAATAGCTATGCTAATTATATGCTATGTACAAATGTGTTAAAGTGCTTAACATTAATGCGATGCTTACAGCGTACCATGGCTTAGTTTCGTCGCACTTAAGATACGTGATTATCTTCTGGGGCAATTCAACTTACAAGGAATTACCTCTCAAAGCACAAAAACTACATATTACGATCATGTTTAAACTGGAGCCAACGGATAGCTGGTGAACCCTATTTTATAAAATATAAAATACTGACATTACCATCTCTATCATCATCATTACAGCCTTTCATAAGTCCACTGCTGAACATAGGCCTCCCCCAAGGAATGCCACAAAGCACGGTCCTGAGCCACATGCATCCATCGACTTCCTGCATGTCTTACCAGGTCGTCGCTCCATCTCTTGGGGGTTCGCCCTACACTTCGCTTACCGGTACGAGGCCGCCACTCGAGAACCTTTCTTCCCCATCGGTTGTCGGTTCTTCGAGCTATATGACCGGCCCACTGCCACTTCAGCTTACTAATCCGTTGGGCTATGTCGGTTACTCTGGTTCTACTGCGGATATACTCATTTCTAAGATTATCACGCAGAGAAACTCCGAGCATAGCCCTCTCCATAGCTCGCTGAGCGACCTTGAGCTTCCTCATACGGCCAGCAGTGAAGGACCACGTCTCAGTTCCGTAAGTCATCACTGGCAACACGAACTGGTTGTACAATTTCGTTTTAAGGTTTTGAGGTATGTCTGACGACTAGATGTGTCGTAGCTTCCCGAACGCTGCCCAGCCGAGTTGAATCCGTCGATTGACCTCTCGGTCGAAGTTGGACTTACCTAGTCGGACTATTTGTCCTAGGTAAACATACTCGTCAACAACTTCGAGCTTAGTGCTCCCAACAACTACCGGAATAGGTGTGACATGGACATTAAACATAATCTTTGTTTTGTCCATGTTCATCTTAAGACCTATCCGTTGGGAGACACTATTGAGGTCATTGAGCATAGTGCTTAGGTCCTCCAGCGATTCTGCCATAAGGACTATATCGTCGGCAAATCGAAGGTGAGTGATGTACTCGCCATTGATGTTAATACCGTATCCTTTCCGGTCCAGAAGTTTGAAAACGTCTTCCAATGCAGCGGTGAAGAGTTTCGGGGATATAACATCACCCTGTCTTACACCTCTCTGCAATTGGATAGGTTCTCCATCTCTATACATTTTAGAAATTGCCATGTTTGTTAAAAGTAATCGGCACACAGTTACAACAGGCGTGATGATACTATTCTCTGTTTGCATAGCTCAAAAACTACACTGAAGCGAAAAAGTGTTTTTCGCATGGCCCCTTTAATATATAATAAGCTTCAGAAATGTTGAAAGGAGCTGAATGCCCGTTTGTTTAAAAATAAGTTGAATTATATTTAGAAGGCAAAGCATACTATAGCATATTAGAATTGTTGAATAATTAAAATTAAATCTTAGGTAACAAGCAATTGTTTTACTGACATTGTATAAAGCAGATAAAATATTAGTAGCTTCACAGCAAATAATATTACCAGACATTTAATTTTAATTTATTACTTAGATTTATTTATATTTATTTTGATAAAATTGTTAAAATTTGTTTTTATAATTTAAATTTAATTCGATAGTGTTAATAACAATTTAATTTTCAATTGTAATATATTTATAATATTTTCACAAAGGCCAAACACGACAGATCCTATTAATGTATGTATCTGAACAACCTGCATGCTTTGTATGTATACTCATGTTTCGACAAATAAATATCTTGTATCTTGCATTTTATTACGCAACACATCATTTTATTTTATTGTGCCGGTCTTACCCTTATTAACGTCCAAAGATGTTAAAAATTATATTAAAATATATTTTAATTTTTCTCCGTAGTAACGCCGGATTCTATTAATTTTATTGTGGCTGCAGCACGAATGGGTCCATAGGCCTGGACTACATCTCTACCAGTATATTTTATCCTTGATATTTCACTACTAGGTATGGACCTCTCCTATAAGAAGGATTTGCATTACAGTACCAGCCATCTCGTACCTTTAATGCTGCTCACCGTCACCGGTCGTGGCATAATACATCTGGCATATACGAAATAGC